TTCAGAACCCCCTTCCCCTCCCCCATTTCTGAAGAAGGGTCTAGGCCGAAACATCAGCCTTCCTGCTCCTCTGATGCTGCTTGGCCTGCTGTGTTCACCTAGCTCTACACCTTATTATCTCAGATTCTCCAGCATCTGTAGTTCCTACTATCTCTTTCTTCATCCCAGTTGGATTTATGGATGACCACCGTGAAGTGAAGACTTCTAGCTTTGCTTTTCCCCACAAATGGACAGAGTTTCTGTGTGTATACATCAAAATCCTTCATTATTTAACAAAAAGCTGCTGCAGTATCCTCATACATCTTTCAAGGGAACACTAACTCAGCCTGTTTATTTTCCTAATAAATATATACATTTGCAAGGACCTAAGTATGACTTATTTTGTTTAGAGTCATAAAGCATGGAAACAGACTCTTCAGCACAACTCATCCAAGCCAAATAGGTTTCCTAAACTGAGCTAGTCTCACTTGCCATGTATTTGTCCCATATCTCTCTGTACATTTCCTGTTCATGTACCTGTCCAAATGTCTTTTAAATTTGGAAATTATACTCACTTGAACTCTATCACTTCCTCTGGCAGCTCATTCCATATATGCACCACTCTGTGTGGAAAAAGTTGCCCCTCTGGTCCCTTTTGAATCTTTCCCCTCTCACCTTAAAGCTATGCTCTCTAGTTTGGTACTTCCCCCACCCTGGGGAAAAGACTTTGTCCATTCAACTTTTACTACGCCCCTTCATGATTTTATAAACTTCTGCAAGGTAAACCCTCAGCCTCCAAGGAAAAAGTACCAGCCTGTCCAGCCTCCCCTTATAACTCAAATCCTCCAGTCCCAGGATGATCACAGGCCTCCAGTCTGAACAACAACCCTCTACACCTTTGAAATGAAAGGTAGAAACAGGAAAATCAAGTCCCCCTGCACCCCCCACCCCCCCAACACACACTCCTGGGACAGTTATAGTACGGGGTTAAGTACAGAGTAAAGCTCACTCTAATTTCTCAAAACAGAAAAGTAAAAGTTTCCCCACATCTGGAACTGAAATAAAGTTCCAGTGACAAAAACAGAAATTGCTGGAGGAGTCCAGTAGTTCTGGCAGCATTAGTGGAGGGAAATCAGAGTTAACGTTTTGGGTCTGGTCACCCTTCCTCCAAACTATGGTCACTGGGCCCAAAACATTAACACTGATTTCTGCACACAGATGCTGACAGACCTGCTGAGCTTCTTCAGCAAATTCTGTTTTTGTTTGATTTCCTGCATCCGTAGTTCTTCCGGTTTTTGTATAGTTCCAGTGACTCTGGAAAAAAAAGGAACACAAATAAACAAACAAGAAATAGCTCTCCTCGACTCTGACCGCACCAATTACTCTTCTCTTCGGATAGGGACAATAAGGGGTCGAAATGTGGAATAAACATTCCTTGGCTCAGTCAAATGCATTGGAAACTATTAATCAAATTCCCTCAGCTCCGTACCCATTGAACACTCCCAGGACAGGGACAACAACGTTCTAAAAATCAGAGGGAAAGGTTCCTCTAACCATTGCAAATGAAAATAAAGATTCCCTTACACCAACTCCATCAAGTATTTCTAGGACAGGAACATCACGGGATTAAAATAAAAGCGGCCTCTGTCATGACTTGCAGTTCCTGCTCATAGTGTGGCCTCAGCCTCGGGTTTTCTTCCAGGAATTGCCTGCCTTTGACTTGGGCCTGATCATTGCCTGCGACATGGGAGTGACGGCTCTCATCAGGGATCCACTGCCCAGGACCAGGTTCCTCCTCGAGTGTGGTTTGCGCTGGCCAAGGGAGGATAGAGCTCAGGACGCAGGGCTGACAAGTGAGGGACCTGCTGGATGGTTGAGGAGCAGGCCGGACAATGCCAGCACAGTTGGTCGTGAGAGCTCTGATCCACCTGCAATTCGCGACCCAAACCATCCCAAGCCTTACAGACAAGGCACTCGGCCCTGACACCTCGTGTGCACTTGAGACAGCTCAGGCGGATGGTGGGCTTCCAGGCAAACTGATTCCAGTCCATCTGCAACTCAAGTTGGTTAAACAGCAAGTTGGTCAGACTAGATTTTCTCGCCGCATATCCATGGTGACTTTTCCAAATCAATCCATATTTTTCCATGTGACTATTAATTCTATCTAAAATAGTTATTTCTACAAGTTTCCCCACCACTGATGTTAAACTGACTGGTCTGTAATCGATGGGCCGATCTTCACAAACCTTTTGTTGTATGTCTGCAGACCTGGCCTCCAGCAATTCTTATCCATAGCAGTCATATGAACTCTTAGTATCCTCATAAACTTATACAGCATAACTGGCAAAGGGCCAATTTGTGATCCATCATATGTAATCGGTCAGATATTAAAACTCAGTGTCATGTGTAAGGCTACTCACAACCAGCAGCTTAACCTAGACCACTGAGGGGGGTTTTGGCCAACAATTATGCCCCACATGGTGATCTTAAAACTATTCAAGGTGCAGACCATTTTGAAGCAGTTTGCCTTCCTTCCTGCAAATTTTTCACCTTTTGTCTCAAATTCACTGAACATTTTATCATTGACACTTGCACACTAAACAAATTAGTGGGCAAGGTGTCAACGAATATGTTTCTAGCCGTCTATGGGGAAAAGATGGAAATGTAGAGTTGGGCCCAACTAATATGCATTAGGTTAACTAAATAATTTCTTCTGATATTCCCAACCTGAGAATCACAATAAGCAAATCCACAATCGAAGCTGTTCACATCTGTCAGTAGACCAGACATAGTACAAGGTCAGGCAACAGGAAACAACTGACTGCTCACTGACAATGGATCTCACAGGGTCGTTTATTTTCCCACAGACACATTTTTCATTTATCATTAAACGATTGTCAGCAGTAGTACTGCAGAATGGTTGAACCTGTTGCACATGGTGTTAATTGAGAATTACTTTACTATATTTCTGAAGAAAGATACTGAGAGGGACAGGGAATCACTGACGTGTGAAGGCAGCAGTAAGACACAGTAGGGTGTCAGGAGTTGAGCAGGCATGAAAAACAGGGAATAAGTGAAAACAAGGGCATAAAGAGTGAAGTGGATATGGAGTAGGACATAGAATTATAGAAGCGGCATTAGAAAGGGAGAAAGACAGGGTAATTTGAGTTACAAACAAATTACGGCAGATGAAGTGCAATGCAGAGAAATGCAAAACAAATTATTTTAGTGGGAAGAACGTGAAAAAACACATACAAAACAAAGGCTACAAATCTAAAAGTGGTGCAGGAACTGAAGCACTTGACTGTATAGATAACGGAACAAGTTGACAACACAGTTGCTTACAGCAATATAGGCTTTATTAACAGTAACACAGTATAGAAGCAAGGAGATTGTGTTAATTTATATAGAATACTGGTTCAGCCTCAAAAGGAGGAATGCATCTAGTTCTGGATGCTGAATTTTAGAACATGGGAGAGTGCAGAGAACTCCATATGAATAGTTCCAGGGATAAGATAGATTGGAGAAGCTGAGGTTGTTTTCCTTGAAGAAGAGAAAGCCAACTGGAGCAATGATAGAACTGTTCAAAATCATGAGGGGTCTAGACAGTGACTGGGACATATAGCTCCCATTGGTGGCAGTATCAAAAACAAGAGGACACAAATTAAAGGTAATCAGAAAAAAAAACAATGGAGACATGAGGAGAAAGTTTTTCACAGAGTCAGTGGTTAAGAACTGAAATGTGTTGCCTAATAGTGTGGTGGAGGCACATTCAATCAAGGTATTTAATAAGGAATTGGATTATTATCTGCAAAAGAAGAATGTACAAGTTACAGGGAGAAGACAGAAAAGTAGTACTTGGGTGCAGTGATCATTCGGACAGCTAGCACAGACATAATGGGATGAATGGCTTCCTCCTGTGCTGGAAAAATTCTGCAATTTAATCCAGCTATTCTCATATTTTACTTCCGCTGCAAAGAATTTTGACCAACATCCTTCCCCTCACAAACAGTGAGGTTCTCATCTCACAATAGCAACCATATTTCATCTGTAACAGAGTCACTTCAGGCTGATTTGGTGGGAAACTGCTTATGTTTTCAATTCAAACATGAGGAAAGGGTGAAATATACCACTCCAAAAATGAGAGAGGGCTACAGATGGAAAAGTGTTTCTCGTTTCAGAGTTAAGCTACACACAATTTGTTCTTCCAATACTGCAGTGTAACAGAGTAAAAGTGGACAGTGGTTAACTTCAGCTACAATTCAAATCTCAATTCAAACTGCCACCACAACACAACGGTCGTCTCCAGTCTGTACAAACAAAAGCAAGACCAGGATGTTCATAAAGCCTTTGTACAATGTTCAATGTCAATAATTCCGGATGTATATCTGATAGAAGCAAACTGTAAATATGATCAGTCATTATTTTTAAAATTATAGTGTTATTGTTTTCTTCATTGAAAATGGTAGAAAGCATTGTGAATTGTTACAGCCAGTGGAACTGAAGTTGGCAGCAGCTGTGAAAAAAAAACACATTGCTTGTTGTAGGAAAACTACACCACATTGAAATACAATTAATGACTGGATGAAAGGATTCTATTATTTGTATACTCAAAATTATGAATTATGCACATACATTATACAATTAATTGCATAAACACCTGTGTTATATAACATAAATTCAATCTAGCAAACCACCACAAAACTGTCATGACTGTTTAATAAAAGAAACCTTTCCTCTTCATCACTTCTGGCTACATGTTGTTCTTTGACTTCCACTCCATCTGTTCACTCCTAACTCCATATGTCTCATCCATCTTCAATGATTCCTCTTATTGTATGTCTCAACATCTTTCTCGCGATCATTCTGCCTCCTTCTGACTGACTGGCTAACTATTGTTTTGTGATCTATCAGCCTATATTACTCTGTATCACTTGGCTTTTGTACATATCCTTTCGCTGAAATACTGAATTTCCTTGCCGTACCTTTGATTCAACGCAGGATAAGAAGCAAGATGGGAAGCAACAACTATTCTGGAGTGGTTGCAGCAAATAGATAGTGTTGGAACTTTTGAAAGTTTGGGCAGAATTGATAAGACTGGCTCCAGGCAGCACAAAAAAAGACACTAATCTAGCTACAAAATTAAGGAGGAGGGTCCTTGCCGCAATTAGCAAACTGAAGCTTATCAGGGAATCAGGTGTATTTCAATCTGGAGACTTGAGGCATGTAGGGGTGACCTGTACCTGGCTATTAAGGTGGCTTGTACCTGAACACACTAAGCGGCCCATGCCTGCTTACAGGATGGCAGACAGAAGCTGAGCAAAACTAAGCAGCCTGCTCACACACTGAAATACAATGGTCCTTTGAACAGAACTGCTAGAAGGTCAGTAAAGGAACACTGTATGTTCCCATCTGACACAGTTCTGATGAAAGGATGCCTTAGGATAGATAAATGGCCAATTCCAGCATTATTAATGAAAAAATGATTTGTCCCTTTAAATGAAAAACATCAGGTGCTAGATTAGGTCCTCAAGCAGCTTCAAGTATAACAGCTAAAGTTATTTTGTAGTAAACAGTTGCCTCTTTGAAGCTACCAGCAATATTAAATAGCTTCTAGCTAAAAATGCTCTTATCATAGAAGTTGGCTTCAATACATAACCAGGTTATAATACAAGCCTTAAAAAACATTTAAGCTTAGATGTAAAGATTAACTAGCCTTAGAAGACCCCTTCTTGTATGTCCTGAACAAGATAGATTGATCACAACCCATAGATTACAAAATGCTGACTGCAGAAGTAGCTGTATGATGTTACACTTATAATTAACTTTATAACACAAGTTAATCTTATAGCATTTAGTTAAAACTAACTAACTTTTTATTTTTACATTATGTAATTGGGACAGTGGGAAAATAAAAGGAGTAACTGAATGTGATAAAAGATAGCACCAAAACACAATGGGTAATAGAATTTGAGCTGTCCTTACAGATAGACAAGCCTGAGAAAGACCCGAAGGAGTACAGGCATTAAACATTTTGAATGCGAATGAATAGGATGCATAGGAAGATCCCAAGGCCTAGCTAATATATAAGATTATGGGAACCTGGGGCGGTCCATAGAAGTGTCCATCACTGATTAGGTGTCCCACAGGATTGGGTATTTGAATTAAGGGGAAGTACAATGACTACATCATATTTGATTACTGTAACAAAAAAATGTATAAAACTGTTGTATTTCTTTGCAAAAGCAGAGGGTATGTCATTGATCTATCTTCCGAAGCCAGATTCGGGGAAGATCCTTTGGCCCTCTCCCCGCATAAACCGGTTTCTGCTTGAATAAACATCTTCCACTTGCCAGAATTCTGCCTGCCTCCTCAGACTTTGTTTTGGGTCAGGAAAAACGCTCCTACAAGGCAGATTACTTAAGGCATGCAGTCTGCTAATCTACACGGCTGTCAAGGAAAGCAGAAATGGGTCCAGACATGCACTCGATGTCTACAAAGCAATAGGTATATATCCAGGACTCAGCAGCACTCCACCAGCCTGGAACAAACCAACTGAAGGGCAACAGCAAGGGCACCAAAAATGCACAGCCTGAGTTATCCAGGCACAGCTTCCTACAGGAGCCCACTGAAACTGATTTCCAAAATGAAACATTCATGTTCAATTTGAAAACATCCTTATGAGTTATTATTTCAGAAATAAAAGTACTTGTCTTGTCACTAATTATTTTAGGTGAATAGACTCAAAGTGAAAAGAAACATGAACAAATTGAAGACTGAAAGCTTTTTCTACATGTCCAAGGCAATGCTTGGTCCACATTTAGTTAGATATTTGAGATAATTAGAATTTCATTGGGGTTCTTTCTGCTCTGCAGACGTGCTAAGCATTTGAATTGTGATGGATTTCAGAGCAGGACACTACTGGGGCATTCTCAATACTACTTTTAAATATATGTAGACAGACATCTTGAGAAAACACTGAAAACCCACCATGTAATCTCATATGTCCTTCAATTAAACAGTCTCATCTGCAAAATGTAGCTAACACCCTAACATTTGTAATTGTTACTGGTCTTGCACTCTTAACTTTCTCAGACTGTATTAGCATTGATATAATTTCCTGCATTTGTCATTGTTACTCATATTCACAAATTGGTAAACTGCAAATTGATTTCTTTCCCACCAGAGAATTTGTCTTCACACAAACAGCTGACAAACTGGAACTACAACCCATCTACAGTATTTGCATAGGAACTAGAAAATGGCTCACCAAATACTGCATAGCAATGGAGCGTCGTAAAGGACCAGGCGGACCAATAAGGAAAACATCTTGTCCCAACAGGTCTTTCTGCATGATCCATTGAAAGTGCTGTGCGAGTGCCTGAGGTAAGGGTTCCAACACTGTTCAGAATGAGAATTGATACAATTATTGTCCTCAACTTCACAACACAGCAATGAGACAGCACAATTGCAAAACTTGTACTGTTCGCCGTGAAAATCACACCGGAAACAATAGTCCTTTGCATGTCCTGATAAACAGGACACAAGTTAAAACTCTCTTGAATTATGTATCATTAGAATAATAAAACATTATTGTGCTTTAGTTATAATATATTGATTTGACAGGGTAACAACAGTGGTCCTGATATTCCAGAGATTGCCCAATTGAGGCGGCTGAAGAGGAATTTAACACATTTTTCACCCCAACCAATAGTATCTTCTATTTCATTACACATCACTTAGAAGAACCAGAAATATAAGGAGTGGACCGTACACCCATCGAGTTCACTCAGCCATCCAATACAAACTTGGCTGATCTTCGGTTTCAATTCTACTTTCACATTGACTCCCCATATCCCTCGACTGCCTGACAGAACAAAAATCTATCCATCCCTGCTTTATGCTTATTCAGTGAAGACCCCATGTTGTAGAGAATTCCAAAGACTCAAAACCCCTCGAGTGATGAAATATTTCCTCATCTCAGTTGCAAATGAAAGCCCTTTATCCCGAGACTGAACTCCCTTGTTCTTGACTCCCCAGGCAGGAGAAACAATCACTCAATGTCACTCTCAGGATAATGAAAGGCCACGAGGCAGGGAGAAATTGGTTATACAGTAGACAAGGCAGGCTCAATGGGTGAAGTAGACTTGGGCTTTTGTGGAGAAATAAATTTAGTCATGAATTTGTGAGAAATTTCTTCAGACTGGCATATGAATCTGACCACTGCATGGACTGCTTTAAGATAAATATCACAGATGTAAGTAAGTGAGGTCATTATAATCCCAAAGGACCATAGGACTGCTCTCTCATTAGAGAGACACTACTGAAGTTGGTTTAACTTGAGCGTCACCATGCATCAAGCAAGGGGAGAGGTTGAGAACAAGGACCTTCATTTAGCCAATGTGGGAATCGAACCCACACTGTTGTGGTGTCACGCTGTGCTCCAAACCAGCTGTTCATCCAACTGAGCTAACTGAACCCCTGTACTGATACATAACTAAGTCCAAGGGTGAAAGGAACAGAAAGATACGCTGCTTGAGCGAGATGATTTTGTTTAACTCATTGCTGGATGTGGCTGTTGCTGGCTAGGAGACCAGTCAATTGCCCAGAGGGCACAGTTAACCACATTGTTGCCACATGTAAACCAGGCAGGAGCTGCAGTTTTTAAAAGACATCAGTGAACCAGATGGGGTTTTCCAACAATCAACACAGTTTCATGATTGTCATTAGACTCTCATTTCAAGATTTTTTTTTATTGAATTCAAATTCCATCATCTGCCATGGCAGAATTTGAACCCAGGTCCTCAGAACATTACCTGCATCTCTGGACAAATACTCTAGTGATACTACACTGGGCCATCACCTCCCTATTTAACATGTAATATAAACACCTGATATGGACTACTTGGACCAAATGGTGCATATCAGTCTTTTAAATATAATGTAGTTCTATATTCTGCCCACCTTCTCATAGCCTATCAGCAGGAAGGAACAACTGACCTCATTACATGCTTATCTCACTTCCAACGGCAGTAAAACTTACCAGTAGCCTCTGAAAATCAACAATAATTCGCACCAACACAGTTTCAACTTTTAATGTGTTTCTAGTTGGAAATTTCTTAAAAACAAATTTTATGGCTTTTTTCTGAATCGTGCAGTTCTGGGAAAATTCATAATAAAATAAACCATGTTTGACTTAACTTGCTCGTTGTTTGAGAAATAAATACACTTAGACAGCTTGAAATAATGTTGACGCCCTCAGTAACAGTTTTGGTTTTGGCCTCAGGGGATTGCTGACCAACTCACAGTGATAACACACCTGGCAGAAACCTGGATATATTCAGCCAAAGTGACTGCAGCAGAATCCATTAATGGAGGAAGTCTCCCCAAGGACAACTTTAGCAATATGTTAAGAGCCAGTGCCACAAGCTTAATGCGTTTGCACCCATCCAGACCTGCAGTACATGGGCCAGTTTTAAGCACTCTCAAATTACCTAAGTGGCCAAATAAAAGTGAAGCTAAAAAAGATCCATATAACCATAGAAATGATACAGCACAGAAGAGGGCCATTCAGCTCATCTTGACATGCCAACCCAATGACTGCCAGATGCCTTTTCTAAACACGTCTTCCTGCACACAGCCCTTAGTCCTGCAGCTTACAGCAATTAAGGTGCAAATCCAAATACTTCGTGAAACAGTTTAGAGTCTCTGCCTCCATCATCAACTCAGGCAGCGAATTCCAGACACCCACCACCCTCTACGTAAGAAAAGTTTTTCCTCTTGTGCTCTCTAATCTTTCTGCCACCTCGCTTGAATCCATGACCCCCCCCTGGTTTTTGAACCCTCTGCCAAGGGAAACAGGTTCCTCCTGTCTACTCTATCTTGACTCTTCACAATTTTATCTACCTTAAACATGCCATCCTTCAGCCTTCTCTGTTCCAAGGATAAGAGCCCCAGTCTCTCCTTGTGGCTACAATTCTTCAGCCCTGGCAACATTCTAGTAAATCTTCTCTGCATTCTCTCAAAAGCAATTACACCCTTCCTGTAATGTGGCAACCAAAACTGCACACAATACTGCATTGTGGCTTCACCAGCATCTTATACAGTTTCATCATTATATGTCTACTTTTGTATTGTATCCCTCTGCCAATAATGTAGAGCATTCCATATGCCTTCTTTAAAACCTGTATTGCTATTCTTAGGGAGCTATGCACTTGCATGCCAAAATCCCTCACTTCATCTCTCCCTCTCAGTATATTCCCCTTTATTGCATAATCCCTTTTATTTTGACCTTCCGAGGTGCATTATCTCTCACTTATCAGAGTTAAACTCGATCTGCCATTTTCCTGCCGACTGCACCAACCCATCTATATCAATTTGGAGCTTACAGTTATCCTCGACACTATCCACTACAAGGCCAATTTTTGTGTCGTCTGCAAACTTCCCAATTATGTCCCTCATATTCAAGTCCAAATCGTTAGTTTATAAAACAAACATCAGGGATCCCAACACCAAGCCTTGCAGAACACTACTTGAAACAGCTTTTCATTTGCAAAGGCAGCCATCAGTCATGTTCTTTTATTTCCTATTACTAAGCCAACTTTGGATCCAATTCGATACATTACGCTGTATCCCATGGGCTTTTACTTTTTTGACCAGCCTGCCATATAGGACCTTGTCAAGTGCCTTACTTAAATCCATGTAAACAATATCCACTGCACTACCCTCGTCGGTCCTCCTTGTCTATTCCTCAAAGCATTCATCAAATATGTAAGGCATGATCTTACCTTAACAGAGCCATGACTAGTCCATGCCTTTCAAAGTGATGGTTTTTCCAATTTCTCAGGATTGATACTAACAATTTGCCCATCATCAAAAAAAGACTAACTGACCTACAATTGTTTGGCATTTCCTTCGTACCCTTTTAAACAACAGAGCCACATTTGCATTCATCTAGTCCTCTGGTACCTCACCCATGTCTAGTGAAGATTGGAAATTAATCCTCAGAGCATCTGTTATTTCCTCCCTGGTCTCCTTCAATATCCTAGAGAACAATCCATCTAGCCCTGATGACTTATCAGCTTTCAAGGATTCCAACTCCTCTCACATTTCCTCTCCCATTATTTCAAACTGTTTCTCTTGGTTTATTACTACCACATGATCCCTTTCCTTTGTGAAAACAGAGACAAAAGAATTTATTTTAAATTCTTCACATATTCTCTACACCTTGACACCAGCTCCCTTCTTCATCTCTAATAGGGCCCACTTTTTCATATCCTTCAGCTCTTCATATACCAGTAAACTATCTTTGGGTTTTCCTTTATCTTGTTTGCTAACATTTTTTCATGTTCTCTCTTTGATTTCCTTACTTCTTTTTTAACTTGATCCCTGTACTATCTATATTTGTCTAAGCTATCTGCAGTGTTGAACTTCTTGTGACTATCATAAGCTTTCTTTTTTTTATAATCTTCCCCTGTATTTTTCCAGACGGCTATGGTCTAGATTTGGCAAGTACCATTCTTATTTTTGGAGGTGACATGTCTGCTTTGTGCCCTAAGGATCTCACTTTTTAGTGCCTCCCACTGGTTTAATACTGATTTATCCTTCAGCAGCCCTGTCCAGACCACCTCAGTCAAGTCAATTCACGGTTTTGCAAAATTTGCCTTCTCCCAGTTAAAAACATTTACTCCAGATTTATCTCTGTCCTTTTCCATAATAATACTAAACCTAACCAAATTGTGGTCACTATTCCCGATAGGTCGCCCATTGTCACCACCCAATTGCCCATCTTCATTTCCCAAAATGAAATCCAGAATTGCGTCTCCTCTTGTTGGACTTGTTACATATTGTTTAAAAACAATTCCTGTACACAGCACATGAATTTTCACCCTTAATGCCCCTTATATTGTTTGAAACCCAGTTGATATTGGGATAGTTCAAGTCTCCTACTATTATTGCCCTCCTATTCCTACAGGTAGAAATTTGTCTACATTTGTTCTTCTATCTCCGAATCACTAATTGGGGGTCTGTAGCACTCCTTGTAGTGTGACTGCCCCTTTTCTTTTAATTCCTAAACTCAACCCATTAAACCTTATTTGTTAACCTATAGCATATAATCCCTTCTCACAACTGTAATTGATTCTTTAAGCAATACTGCTAACCCGCTCCTTTTTTGTCATCCAATCTATCCTGCCTAAAAACTGTATATTCAGGGATACTGAGTTGCCAATTTTTACTCTCCTTTAGCCAGGTTTCTGTTATAGCAACGACATTGTGCTGTCATGTGTCCAGCTGTGCCCTTAGTTCAACTGCCTAGTCTGTAATAGTCTTTGCATTGAAGTATAAACAGCTCAACCCTGTCAATATCCTATGCTTTTGAATCCTCATTTCTTTTGCCTTTC